CGTTGGAATTTGGAACTCCTCGAGTACCAGATTTGGCCCAGGGAGAGGACCCAGGGACCAAGGACCAGATTCGGCCTGCCGGTTCTGTCCTGGCTGTAGTGGTTAAGATACTTGGCTCTTGAGGGAGAGGTCGCCAGTTCGAGTCCGTGCTTCCACGGAGGAGGGCTGAGGCCCAGAGGGCCAGAGGTACAGGTCCATAGACATCAGATGATAAGAGGGAAATGTGAAGGTAGCATCTTTCTCCGGGGATCGTTGTGATGTTCCGAGTCATTGTTGATGAGAGTTCTTCTCTCACCTGTTTCTGGAGTTGAAGTTAAGTTTGCAACACGAACCGGAAAGGAAACAGAACCTTAAACCATCAGTATGCTATTTTCCAGAGGTGCAGCTCGTTAACAGCCGGGGTCGGGCCACCTTGAAGTCTAGTAAATTTCATTGGCGGCCGCTGTCGCGTTTCCGGCCTCCGAAAGTTGCGGTGAGGGACCTACGGCCGATATATGGGAAACGTACTGGTGGTTTGACTGAAGTTGGAAGGCGCAATGGGACTTAACTTAAAGAACCCTTGTCGTTTTTCGAGCCTCTGAACGTTGTGGTGAGGCGCCCATGATCGCCGATATATGGGAAACATACTGTTGGTTTGACTGCAGTTGGAAGGCGCAACAGGACTCAAGAACCCCTTGTCACTTTTCGGCCCTCCGAACGTTGTGGTGAGGGGCCTGCGGCCGATATAATATGGGGAACACACTGGTGGTTTAACTGCAGTTGGAAGTTGCAACGGGAGTCAAGAACCTAAGAACCTTAAACCAGGACCAGAAGTAGGTTCTGGAGCAGAACTAGAACCAGAACCTGAAGGGGGTAGGGGGAGGGAGGGGAGTGTTAAACCACCAGTACTTGGCCCATACATCGGCCGCAGGCGTTTCCCATTAACGCGCCGCGGCCGACGGGCTTCGGGATGCCAGACCACAATGGCTGAAGGCTCCAGCCAAAAGAAAGTCGAAACGACACGGAGCGGGCTCGGCGAAACTTGGGGCGCATACCATATTCAGGCTCGGCTTCAATAGCTGGGCCAGGTACTGGTGGTTTAAGAACTTGAAAGAACAGCTTATTTGGTACACCCTTACGGTCTGAGTTGGACACCTTTGTAACAGCTTCCTTTTCTGTTTTACGATGGCATATATGATATAGCACTTAACGATATCGGGTCCATGGCGATTTGAACTCGCCATGTGTTCGTTAACATTTACATTTGCATAACAGTTGTCAATGATCAGAGCCCAAGTGTTGCCACTATTTTGATCAGCTTTTAGGGGTCTTCTTTTTAATTAAAAAAAAAAGAAAAAAAACAGATTCTAGGGTTAAAATTGGAGATGAAGACCTTTGGGTTTGGGTCCTTTGGGAGGATGGGGATGCGGAGGAGGATCGTTGGGTTCAATGAGCACATTGAGACCATTGAGAACATTGAGAGCACTGGGACCGATGAGTCCATGGGGTATAAATGTCTGGTGTTTAAGTTTAGTTACGAGGATTATCATCAACAGACGTCGGAGTTTTGCAAAGAAGAAGATGAAGTCCTTCGTGACGTTCATTTTGCGCACAAGCCTGTGGAATGGACCCCTGAGTTCTTCCGTTCGGCTTGGTGGTTCGGTCTTGGGGGCGATATGCCCCCTTTGCGTACGTTCTGGGCCATCGACCCGGAACTATTGATGTGCTTCTACAAACAGCTGGTGCACGAGACGTTCATGGAGCATCCAAATGCATCAGGACTCACCGTTGAAAGAGATCATGTTTACCAGCATTCCAGTCTGCTAGATGGTAGTACGGAAGCCGAGTTGCTTTTGGGAACGTTGGGGGAATTGTTCACTGCAACGGACAAAGCCCCGTTTCGGCACCTAAGGAGTATCGAGCTTCGCTCCGTCTACTTCGACGCAGTCTTCTGCTCCCTCGAGAACCTTTGTTCTTTCCTCGTCGACCCGCACTGCCAGATCAAAGTCCTCAGTTTGGTAAACTGCGACCTGCAACCGGGTGCCGGTTACGTGCTGCGCGACATGTTGATAAGCAACTGTTCGCTCACCCACTTCAAGCCGGACTGTCGTTTTCACTCTCCAGAGGAGAAAGTTGAGTTGGCACGCGGCGTGGCAGGTTCCCGAAGTCTCCAAGAATGCTTTCTGATGATCATTTCGAACACAGAGTTACGTGCATTGGCAGACGGTCTGCAGGTATCGGAGTTTCGAGAAGAACAAGGAGGAGAGGAGATGCCGCACTACCAAAATGGTGCCGCGGAAACCATTGAACTGGGCACACAGGCAGCAGACAGTCGACACTCCTCGAATTTTCCGGAAGGACGAGGAGGAGGAGAAGCACTACCGCACCCCAGCGATTGTGCTGAACAAACCACTGAACAGAGCACACGGGTGTCAGACGGTTTACATTCCCCGGAGTTTCCACAAGGACGCGGCGTTGGAGGCGGGGAGGCGGTAGCTCACCCACGAAATGGTGCCACAGACGGTCTGCATTCCCCAGAGTGTCCGGAAGAACGAGGTGCTGATGTGGTAGCACGCCCACGAAATGGTGCCGCAGAGGGTCTGCGTTTCCTGGCGTTTCCGGAGGTACGAGGCGGAGAGGAGGTAGCACATGGAAGAGATCGTGCTGCAGAAAGCATTCAACGGAAAATCAAGCCAGCAAAGGAAGACGCGGCAGAGAGACGAAAAGGACCCATTGGACAAAGGGCGGAGGCGGCAAAGGATGCAGCAGCTCCGGCGGCAACGGTGGTAGGGGAAGTGAAGGGATCCGGTGAAAGCCAAGAACGCTCGACCCAGAATTCAAGCCTTACATGGTTGCTGCAGAGAAGCCTGTATGGCTTCAGAGTCCTGCTACGACAGGTTAGGGCCCACAGGGAGACTCACCACGACGGTGGGCTAGCGGATGGTGGTCCTCGATACGTAGTCAAGGAGCAAGAAACGGGGTCTGGAGGGGTCCTGCCCAGAAAAAGAGTCCGGGAAATTGGAGAACCAAGGGTGGAGGCGGCAGAGGACAAGACAATGGCGGAAGATATAGCAATGACAGAAATGAAGGTAAGTACTAACACAGCATTGGCTGAAACTGCAGTGATAGATACGGTGATGGAAGAAACGGCGGTGGCACTGCCAGAAACACTAGCGCAAGACGTAGCAGTGGCAGAAGGTGGACAGGTAGGAGGAGGAGAGGGGTGTGAAGAGGGGTCTGAGGGGGTACCGAGCAACAGAGTCAGGCAAATGGGAGAAACTGCATGGGCAGAAGGAGGAGAGGTAGGAGTGGAGGGGTGTGAAGGGGGGGAACCCAGCAACAGAGTCGGGCAAACGGAAGAACCAAGGGAAGAGGCAAAGCTGGCCGCAACAACCGCGGCAGATCATATAGCAATGGCAGAAATAATAGTTAAAAAAACAGGAGTGATAGATATGGTAATGGAAGAAACAACGGGCGCGGAAACAGTAGTGCGAGAAACAGCAGTGGTAGAGACTGCAGTGCCTGGAGGAGGAGTGGTACGAGGAGACGAGGGCTTAGGAGCGGTGGCCAAAACTGCAGTCCCAGGGATGACGACAACGGCAGAAACAACAGCTGCAGAGAGGGCGACGACAGGAGCAGAGGTAGGAGGAGGAGAGGAGGAAGGAGCAGAGAGGGAAGCGCAATGGGCAGACTCTGGGGCGCAATTAGGTGGAGCCATGACTCAAAGAGATGCATTATCGACAGAACGTTTCGAGGCCTGCAGCTTGTCAAGCAGGGTGTTACGATGTGCAGAGCAAAGCACCGGTCTGCGGAAACTCTTTCTTCGCATTGGCTTTTTACTGATAGACGAGTACGGTGGCGTGGCAGAGAGTCTCTCTGGACTTCTAAGAACAAACAATAGCCTCCGAGCATTGACGATCAGCTGGATGGATCGCGGGGCGATCTCTGTCGAAAACACGTTTAAGATCGTTGAAGGTCTCAGGGAAAACAGACGTCTGGAAATGCTGTGTTTCCGAGGGCTTCCTATCCTACCATCACATGTGGCGGACACACCTCTTAGGACCCAGCTACAGTCTATTCTTAGTCAGAATCAGACTCTCAGATCTTTGACTGGTCTTTACGGACTGGAGTCAGATAAAGCCGTGATCAGACTTTTGAGAGGACGCCCATGGCCCTGAGATTGCTGGGTGCATCGCCGCGACTGACGGAACGACAGAGATCCAGCTACGGTTCCAAGAACAGGAGTTTTACCTAGATATATCGTGAAACAGCATCGCCTTTCTGCCTCATCAACTCACTGAAACTTCTGAAAGGATAGCAAGTAAACTGCAAACACGAGGCAAGCAGTCGACAGCACACTGGACAAAGCCAAAAACGCTGTATGATCAACATCACTGAAAGGCCATAGAGACAGGAGGAGGGACGAGAGACAGGTGGAAGGAGCGAAAGAAGAGATAGGAGGAGACACAACAACCCGAGCTATTCTTTGAGAATATAGATCTACTCCTATGTGTGTGTATATATATCGTCAAACAGAGCTGCCTGGTAAACCGTAGGCAGAGAGGGAGAAGAGGAGAAGAGGCCAACAAACGAGGAGCTGTGACAAACTGCTTCCTCGTCGGAATTTCACCGACTCATCAGCAGGCTGTATGTATGTGCAGAGAGAGAGACTCTGAGAGAGAGAGAGAGAGAGAGAGAGAGAGAGAGAGAGAGAGAGAGAGAGGGTTGGCTACAAAAGGCAGGTCAAATACAAGCAAATATACGAAAAAAAGAAGAGTATTTATGTGTATATGTATCGTCAAACAGAGCTGTCCGATAAGCCATAGGCAGAGAGGGAGAAGAGGAAAAGAAACGAGCCGCTGTAACTAACTGTTTCGTGGGAGTTTAATATGTATGATTTTTGTATAATAATTGTATGAAAATAAGAGGTAGAATGACAGGGAGTTGAATTGGTTGGGCTCAAAAAAAAAAAAAAAAAAAAAAAAAAAAAAAAAAAAAAAAAAAAAAAAAAAAAGGGGACTATTATAGCTTCTGCTTTTAAGGGTACTAGGAGTCGAGGCCTTTACTTATCGGATAGGTTTGAATAGCAGTTCTTCTGTAGGAGAGCCGAATGTGCAGACTCCGCAGCGCAATTCTCTTAGTGCTTACTACGGTCTTCCCCCTAACACAACACACCGTCATTCTGGCTGTATCTGGCCTGAAATATAGCTTGTATACGTTCATTTTCAGGGTGCGTTATGTTCGGGGGAAGACAGAAGTGTGTAGCACTAACGATGTAGTAATGTACCACACAAGTGGTTACCTGGGACCCACACTTTCAGGTCCTTGGTTATGGGGTCCAAAACTGAAATTAGGGTTTGGGGGTTAAAATTTATGGTTTTTTTTTTTTTTTTTTTTTGTTCTGTTTTTTATTTTGTCGGAAGTTGCTGGGTACCAATGCACAACAGGAGGAATGGTGTTCTTTTTGGGCCTGTTTTTGTTTTTTGGCCTGTTTTTTTTTTTGGTGCCTGTTTTTGTTTTGGCTGGAAGGCCTTCTCTCTTTTATGAACTGACCCTGGCTTGGTTAAAACTGACCCTTGGTTAAAATGAGCCTTTGTTAAAATTGCAATAACCCATGCCATATGTCTCGTGGAACTGAGGGTCATCAGAGGGCCTACTTGGCCGCCCTCAGCCCAGGGCGAACAAGGGCAGAAAAGGCCCTTCACGAATTCAGGGCCTGGGCGTGTGACACAGTGACAGTTGACTTTCAACTGTCGAGATCCCAACAGTCAAAGTCTACCTAGCCCAGGCCGCAGGTCAAGCACACACACTTGTTTGTATGCAGGTACCGAGACAGCATCAGGTCCAAGGGAGAAGTCTGCAACTGAACAATCGGGGCCTTCAGCTGTGAGTCAATCTGGACGACTGAGGGGAAAAGCACCGAGGCCAGACAGCCTGACTTATTGCTACTTAAGGCTGGCCTGGAGAGGGTCAAGGCATTCAGTCTTGCTATGCTGCTTTGACGCTCAGTGGCTCGACTTTGACACATCGCTGGCTTCATGCTGGCTGTGCACAAGCGTTGCGGACGACGGCACGAAGTGGAGGCAGCATGCTGGCGCTTCTTCAGTGCGCCAGGCCATGCTGACGTGGCGCTGCCTTTGGTCTACATGGCATGATGATGTAGCGCTGCCTCTGGTCTACATGGCATGCTGATGGCCATGCTGACGTGGCGCTGCCTTTGGTCTACATGGCATGATGATGTGGCGCTGCCTCTGGTATACATGGCGCTGCCTCTGGTCTATGTGGCATGCTGATGTGGTGCTGCCTCTGGTCTACGTGGCATGCTGATGTGGCGCTGCCTCTGGTATATGTGGCGCTGCCTCTGGTCTACATGGCATGCTGATGTGGCGCTGCCTCTGATATACGTGGCGCTGCTACTGATCTACATTGATGATGTGGCGATTGCCACATGTTTCGATAGTTGACGTGGCATTGTCCACGCTGTCTACATGAGGTGACTGGTTGCGACAAGGAAGAAGGAAGATCGGGATCTGTGGTTGAAGAAGTACGGGTACTCACCTGGGTTTGAAGTCAATACTGGAATCTGCAATGTCTTCATGGTCTTCATGAGATTGAGTGCCACGTGGTACTTCTCTGTGTGATCAGGAATATACTTATTATCATTGTTGATGTGGAGAGGGAAGAAGCCCGGAGAAGTAGAGGGTTGAGAAGGGATTACTGTGTGAATCTTCATCTTCTCCTTTGTCTGCTCCCCCTCCACTCTCTTCTATTGATGCTAATGAGATACTGTTTAAGATATTTCTTCACGAGTTGGAGACTTTGCTGCAGATACTGACTCTACAGGTATTTGACGACTTCTGAGTATCTGTCAGACCGGGTTCATTTACAAAATGACCGTTGGTTAAAATGACCCTTGGTAAAAATGACCGTCGGCTAAACAGGCCTGTTTTTAATTCGTGAGGACAAATTGGTGGCAAGTTTGGGGTTCTCTCTTTTATATCTATGTATTCGTGAGGAGAAATGAGTGGCAAGTTTGGTTAAATTGTCCCCTGGTTAAACTGACCCTTTGTGAAACTGACCCTTGGCTTTTGCTATAATTAGGCATGACACCTTGTCTGAAATTTTGCGCCTCCGTTAACCTGCTGTCCCACTTGTGATTCCCGAGGAGTCGAGGACCCCCACTTTCAGCGCTCCAATGTACAGGGATGCAAGAGGAGAAATGATGGCCATCTCACTTTGTATAATTATGATGCATTCGGCAGATAGGCCATCTCACTTTTTATAATTATGTATTCAGGAGATGGAAAATCACCGACGGCAATGCAAAGTCTGATTTTGATGGCCATCCGTCGTTTTCTCAAGTATTCCGCCCGGAAGCAGGATGTAATAGAATAGTAGAAGTCTAGAAAATGTAGTAGAAGAAAAAGAACCATGGTGGGGCACTCCCAAATAATAATCGTCTTTCCTCCTCCTCCTCCTCCTCCTCCTCCTCCTCCTCCTCTGCTCCAAGCAATGAATCACAGATTTCAACTCTGGGAGCTACGCTCTCCATTTCGACAATTCCATCTCTCTCTCTCTCTCTCTCTCTCTCTCT